GGCATTTTCTAAATAATTTCCCCTTCTGTCAAAAGATGCGACAATCCATTGGAGTTTTCATTTATAAGAGGGCCTTCATCGGTATCCATGGGACTTTCTGATAGACATTTCTACAAAATTAAAATAAGATTAATTCGTAAAGAATTTTCGATTAAATATAACCTAGTTCTTAACTTACCTGTAATTCTGAACTAGCGTCATCATCCATTTTTATATAAAGTAAACACTGAAGTCTGCAAAGGATCCGAAAGGATAAAGTAAATTTCAATGTTTTAACAAAACAAAGGTACCTATGCTTTACAATATTACATTTATAAACTTAAAATGGGTACTTATTAAAACTTTATAAATCTGATGAAAATTATCTAACACACCGGAAAAGCCAAGCGCAAAGCTAGAATTCAGATTGCATGTCGATTGTCGATCTAAGATCGATTAATCGAAAAATCGATTTTTAGTTCGATAAATGTTAGTGAATCGATATTTCACCCTAGAAAATCTCTTTCTTTTTCTTCGAGATCGAATCTTTTTCTTTTTCTATAAGAACTATAAAATTATTTACAATTAGCTGAATGAACGAAAACTCAAAACGATTGACTACTCTTTTCAAAAACTCGCAAAACTGCTGTGCTCAGTTTCATTCTTCTCTTCTTAATGGAATAAAGAAATAAAAAATAAGTTACTTTGTCATCTGTACTCTGTTGTACCTGTATTATCTTTATTGATAAGTTACTATTTGATATTATAAATATAAACTTTGAAAGCTGAATGAAAAAACATAGATTTTTGAAAAATCGTTCTTTTAGATATCGATTTTTCTGTGAATCGATTTCTCAGATTTTGATTTGATAGAATTTTAAAATCGATCCTTTTCGGAAAAAATTGACATCCCTAACTCAGAGCTGCCAAGTGCCGATTAGGGATGTTCGATGATCATCGAAGTTAAAAATTAAAACATCAGATGTTTTAACATCGATGTTGCCACATGTCAAACATCGAAATATCGATGTCAATAAACCAATACTCGATTAATAAGAGTTTGTTAACAATGCGAACCCGCGAAATCAATATCAACGAAATATTTCATCTACTATTAAAGGTTTAACATTTTAAGTAATTCAGGATTTCTAAACACATCGATCATCTAAAAAAATATCATTATGGTATGTCAAACTCACTATCAGGTGTAAACTGTAATCCTTTTGTTTTTTTCGTCTTAAAAACGTCCAAAACAAAATTTGGCCCTTACTACTACATCATGCAAAACATGACGCTATATCAATATTTATCACGCGATAATATGTATACTGTTTAAAAATATCGATTCAATAAATATAATCCGACGTCCCTAATTGGGGGGCACGCCCACCCTTCATTCAGGGCCCTGATTCGGGGTAGTGCACAGAGTACATTTTTATATGGGGTAGTGTAATAAGGGTATTATAGTTATTGTTCTGAGAATATGATATAATCAAAAGAGCATAGTGACTATCCTACATAATCACAAATTAACTAAAAACACTTCTTATTAGTTTGTGCTCGCGGATACAATTTGGAGCAAATCTAAAAAATATTTTATACCAGATTTACTTTCAGAAAATCCTAAAAAGTGTCACACTAAATTATTTGGTCGAAGCTTAATTTTATAGCCTTTAGGCAACTGAATTAATTTTTATTAAGTTTCTTCTTGATATTGCAAGTAATTAGATACATACATTGACTTATATATTACTAGCGTAATATAAAATTCCTTTTGAAATAATTTGATACATAGAGATCATCTAATTTAAAATTGCACGCGCCTTGCGTTTCGATAGATTTTAATACGTCGAATAGAGCAAAAATGCCAAGAACTACTAAATCACACTAGAAATTGCGCGCAGATTTAGATTTAATTATATTTCTTAAGGTTCTCGAGTGGCAGCCTCGTACCGGCTTAGTGTAGGGCGTAGAACCGATAACCGATGGGGAAGAAAGGTTCTCGAGTGGCAGCCTCGTACCGGTAGGCGTAGTGTAGGGCGACCCCCCACTAGATGGAGTGACGTCCTGGTAAGACATGCAGGAAGTCGATGGATGCAGGTGGCTCAGGACCGTGCTTTGTGGCATTCCTTGGCGGAGGCCTTGTGGACTTGTGAAGGGCTGCAATGATGATGATGACAGTAAATGTTTACAATTTTATTTGTTTGGTTGCTAAAAGGCTACAAAACTAATCTTCTTTTAAACAAATTAGTATGACACTTTTTTGAATTTTCTGAGCGTAGATTTGGCATAAGTTTTTATTTATATAAGAAGTATTTATATGTTTTGTTGAAAGTTTTCCTTGTTAACTCGCTTTATAAAGTTTGCACTCTAAAAATGTGTTAAATAATCAATCAAAAATTATCAATACTTTATGTAGCATAACCACAACTACTAGATGGCAGTTATGCGTACACAGAGAAACGGATTGTTTTATCCATAGAATACTATAATACATACATAATAGAACGGAGGAGTGGACGGAGCCCGTGAAGCCACTAAAATGTCACTAACACGTCAATTTACACGTATAAATGTCAACACGAAATGTGTTTTGACGTTACAATCGGAAACATTTGGAAAAATTTGGAAACGATTGTAACGTTAAAACACATTTCGTGTTGACATTTATACGTGTAAATTGACGTGTTAGTGACATTTTAGTGGCTTCACGGGCTCCGTCCACTCCTCCGTTCTATTATGTATGTATTATAGTATTCTATGGATAAAACAATCCGTTTCTCTGTGTTCACTGCATAACTGCCATCTAGTAGTTGTGGTTATGCTACATAAAGTATTGATAAACATTAATATTGATTATTTAACACATTTTTAGAGTGCAAACTTTATAAAGCGAGTTAACAAGGAAAACTTTCAACAAAATATATAAATACTTCTTATATAAATAAAAACTTATGCCAAATCTACGCTCAGAAAATTCAAAAAAGTGTCATACTAATTTGTTTAAAAGAAGATTAGTTTTGTAGCCTTTTAGCAACCAAACAAATAAAATTGTAAACATTTACTGTCATCATCATCATTGCAGCCCTTCACAAGTCTACTGTTAAACATAGGCCTCCGCCAAGGAATGCCACAAAGCACGGTCCTGAGCCTCCTGCATCCATCGACTTCCTGCATGTCTTACCAGGACGTCACTCCATCTAGGGGGGGTCGCCCTACACTACGCCACCGGTACGAGGCTGCCACTCGAGAACCTTTTCTTCCCCATCGGTTATCGGTTCTACGCCCTACACTAAGCCGGTACGAGGCTGCCACTCGAGAACCTTAAGAAATATAATTAAATCTAAATCTGCGCGCAATTTCTAGTGTGATTTAGTAGTTCTTGGCATTTTTGCTCTATTCGACGTATTAAAATCTATCGAAACGCAAGGCGCGTGCAATTTTAAATTAGATGATCTCTATGTATCAAATTATTTCAAAAGGAATTTTATATTACGCTAGTAATATATAAGTCAATGTATGTATCTAATTACTTGCAATATCAAGAAGAAACTTAATAAAAATTAATTCAGTTGCCTAAAGGCTATAAAATTAAGCTTCGACCAAATAATTTAGTGTGACACTTTTTAGGATTTTCTGAAAGTAAATCTGGTATAAAATATTTTTTAGATTTGCTCCAAATTGTATCCGCGAGCACAAACTAATAAGAAGTGTTTTTAGTTAATTTGTGATTATGTAGGATAGTCACTATGCTCTTTTGATTATATCATATTCTCAGAACAATAACTATAATACCCCTATTACACTACCCCATATAAAAATGTACTCTGTGCACTACCCCGAATCAGGGCCCTGAATGAAGGGCGGGCGTGCCCCCCAATTAGGGACGTCGGATTATATTTATTGAATAGATATTTTTAAACAGTATCAATATTATCGCGTGATAAATATTGATATAGCGTCATGTTTTGCATGATGTAGGGGGCCAAATTTCCATGTTTTGGACCTTTTTAAGACGAAAAAAAAACAAAAGGATTACAGTTTACACCTGATAGTGAGTTTGACATACCATAATGATATTTTTTTAGATGATCGATGTGTTTAGGAATCCTGAATTATTTAAAATGTTAAACCTTTAATAGTAGATGAAATATTTCGTTGATATTGATTTCGCGGGTTCGCATTGTTAACAAATTCTTATTAATCGAGTATTGGTTTATTGACATCGATGTGTTTGACATGTGGCAACATCGATGTTAAAACACCTGATGTTTTAATTTTTAACGTCGATGATCATCGAACATCCCTAATCGGCACTTGGCAGCTCTGAGTTAGGGATGGCAATGCTTTTTCCGAAAAGGATCGATTTTAAAATTCTATCAAATCAAAATCTGTGAAATCGATTCACAGAAAAATCGACATCTAAAAAGAACGATTTATCAAAAATCTATGTTTTTTCATTAGTTTCAAATTTTATATTTATAATATCAAATAGTTACTTATCAATAAAGATAATACAGGTACAACAGAGTACAGATGACAAAGTAACTTATTTTTTATTTCTTTAATCCATTAAGAAGAGAAGAATTAAACTGAGCACAGCAGTTTTGCGAGTTTTTAAAAAAAGAGTAGTCTATCGTTTTGAGTTTGCGTTCATTCAGCTAATTGTAAATAATTTTATAGTTCTTATAGAAAAAGAAAAAGATTCGATCTCGAAGAAAAAGAAAGAGATTTTCTAGGGTGAAATATCGATTCACTAACATTTATCGAACTAAAAATCGATTTTTCGATTAATCGATCTTAGATCGACAATCGACATGCAATCTGAATTCTAGCTTTGCGCTTGGCTTTTCCGGTGTGTTAGATAATTTTCATCAGATTTATAAAGTTTTAATAAATACCCATTTTAAGTTTATAAATGTAATATTGTAAAGCATAGGTACCTTTGTTTTGTTAAAACATTGAAATTTACTTTATCCTTTCGGATCCTTTGCAGACTTCAGTGTTTACTTTATATAAAAATGGATGATGACGCTAGTTCAGAATTACAGGTAAGTTTAAGAACTAGGTTATATTTAATCGAAAATTCTTTACGAATTAATATTATTTTAATTTTGTAGAAATGTCTATCAGAAAGTCCCATGGATACCGATGAAGGCCCTCTTATAAATGAAAACTCCAATGGATTGTCGCATCTTTTGACGGAAGGGGAATTTAACAGTGTTGATGCTGGTGTTGTAGATGAATCGTCAACATCAAATCAGGGATTTCTGAATGCAGTTGAATTGTCTGCTGGCAGTGTAGGAGATTATTTAGAAAATAACACCAGTGAATTTAACACAGACACATTCGATGTTGGTGATAATGCAGTAAACTTTCCAAGTGAATCTTTAAATAACATGCTTTCTGATGGAGATTCACATCTGAGCGATGCGATGTATAAAAATATGACGTCCGATGTCGAAGGCGATTATACAGATAGCCAAAGAACCAAAATGGGATCTGATTTTGAGCAAGATATTTCTAGAGATGTATTAAATGATGCTAGTTTGTCAGTTCCATCTGAACACCATGAGAATTTGAAAATAGAGGACACTAATTGCTCCAATAATGATGCAAAAACATGTGACCTAAGTGATGATGCGAGCCAATCTATTGTGGACCATATTTTGAGTGAGAAAATGGAGGTAATTGCCATGTTGATATTTTTTCAATATTTAATCATACGTAATTGTTATTATTTATAATAATTATTTAGATGATAGCATCTTTATTATTATTTATAGAATCAGTTGTTCCTACATGAAATTTTATTATATGAAAGATTTTTTGTTTATTATTTTTAAAAATGTTATCCTGACATTGGGAATTTCTCATTAATTATGGAGGCATTTGCTTATGAAAGAACAAGTATATGTAGACCATAGTTGTTCTGTGAAGGAAGAATGCAACTCTTAGCTGTACTGCAGTACAATGTTGTTATTTAATTATTAATTTAGATCAGAAATTGGTATGCAAGATGATGTTGTGACCAGGATTAAGAAAGGAATGCTTTGGTGGTTTGGTCATGTAGAAAGAGAATGAGGAAGAGTGACAAAGCAAATTTATATGTCAGATGTGAACGGCAGAGTTGGGAAGGGATGCCCTAGAAAAAAGTTTATCAACCAAATTGGCGATATTTTGAAAATGGGCCTAGTTAGAAGTACCCTTAACCGACGAGCATGTATGCGTAGATATATGGATGTAAAGGAGGCGAAAGAGGTATGTCAGGATCATGCCAAATGGAAGTCCGTAGTCTCTGCCTACCCCTCTGGGTGACAGGCGTGAGTGTTTATGTTATAATTTAGATCAGGTGTTTTGAATGTTTTTGTAATTATAATGACTTCATCTGCCATCTAGGGAAAGGAAGCAAAGAAAATATTTGAAGATGAAAAGTCTTCACCAGATAAAGAAACTGAAGTCATTCAAGAAGAGAAACAAACGGGTGCATCAGATGAAAACAAACAGACAGTTGAAACTGAAAAGACAGTTGAAACTAAAGAGGCAGTTGAAACTAAAAGTGCAATTGAAATAAAAGAGGCAGTTGAAACTAAAGAAGTAGTTGAAACTAAAGAGGTTGAGGAAACTGAAAAGATAGCTGAAACTACTGAGACAAAAGAAGCTAAGGAGACAATTGATATAAATCAATGCAATAAAACTGCCACACAGAAAGAAGATGATACAACATCTGAGGTATATTTAATGTTTAAGCTTTAAATAATGTATTTGTAATTTGTTAGCAGGGTAATCTAAAACAAATCAAAAAGAAGACGAAAACACATATATGTATATGATAGAAATAGTTTACAAAATAATTACTAAATTAATGGAGTATGTGTAAGTGCTAGAGTAGATGTAGAGGTTAGCAAGGATAGATGGTATATTTTGATATTAATGAATATTATTTGATATTATGCAAAAATACAAAGTTTCAGATATACATTTTTATACTCAAAATAATGACAAGCACAGCTCATTATTTCCTGTTTAATTAATAGTTATTTGTAAGCTCTCGCACACTAGTTTGTATTCTTCATTTTACTAATTACTCACCAGTTAAAGATATGTCAAGAAAATATAGTAGTCATATATTTTTTTTACCTGTGTTTACTAGTTTCAAACTACTTTTAAAGCTTCTTTTTGAACAAAAATAATACACTAATAAATGTGGTATATTTTAATTATAAATAAAATAAAACCAGTGGATAAGGTTGATTATGATAGGCGTTGATAGAATTCTTTTTTAAATTGTGTATGACATAAATTTTGGTAGAGTAAGAGACACCTTTGGGAAGTATTTAAATGATAATTATGGCTACCTATAGATGGTGGTACAACCGTTTTGTTAATGCCAGGCTTAAAATATCCAACCTCACACCGGGAAGCATTGTCAAAGTTTAGAAATATCTGGTACTGAGGTGTTCCATTCGCCTGCCACTTAGGCAAATTTTCTCTACAATGGAAGAAATCCATGTCCAGCAGTGGCTATTTAAGGGCTGATAAATAATAAAAAGAAGAGCTTACATGTAGTGACGGTGTAAGAATATCTACCAATACCCCGTATAATGTAGTGACGGTGTAAGAATACCTACCAATACCCCATATAATGTAGTGACGGTGTAAGAATACCTACCAATACCCCATATAATGTAGTGACGGTGTAAGAATACCTACCAATACACCATATAATGTAGTGATGGTGTAAGAATACCTACCAATACCCCATATAATGTAGTGACGGTGTAAGAATACCTACCAACACCCCATATAATGTAGTGACGGTGTAAGAATACCTACCAATACCCCATATAATGTAGTGACGGTGTAAGAATACCTACCAATACCCCATATAATGTAGTGACGGTGTAAGAATACCTACCAATACCCCATATAATGTAGTGACGGTGTAAAAATACCTACCAATACCCCATATAATGTAGTGACGGTGTAAGAATACCTACCAACACCCCATATAATGTAGTGACGGTGTAAGAATACCTACCAATACCCCATATAATGTAGTGACGGTGTAAGAATACCTACCAATACCCCATATAATGACATGACGGTGTAAGAATACCTACCAATACCCCATATAATGTAGTGACGGTGTAAGAATACCTACCAATACCCCATATAATGTAGTGACGGTGTAAGAATACCTACCAATACCCAATATAATGAAGTGACGGTGTAAGAATACCTACCAATACCCCATATAATGTAGTGACGTTGTAAGAAAACCTACCAATACACCATATAATGACTTGACGGTGTAAGAATACCTACCAATACCCCATATAATGTAGTGACGGTGTAAGAATACCTACCAATACCCTTAATGTAGTGACGGTGTAAGAATACCTACCAATACCCCATATAATGTAGTGACGGTGTAAGAATACCTACCAATACCCCATATAATGTAGTGACGGTGTAAGAATACCTACCAATACCCCATATAATGTTGACGGTGTAAGAATACCTACCAATACCCCATATAATGTAGTGACAGTGTAAGAATACCTACCAATACCCCATATAATGTAGTGACGGTGTAAGAATACCTACCAATACCCCATATAATCCCGTGGGTGTCATAAGAGACAACAGAGGGAAATAGCAGCAGCCTCCTCCTTAATATTACTAAAAGTAAAAACCTGCAACCCTCTTGCCAAGCATGTGATAGTTCACAATACTATAGCAAATATCCCCTTATGAGGCAATCTATGGGGGAGGCCTATGTTCAGCACTGAAATTTAATATGCTGAACGGTAAGAATATACTATGTTCAAGCACCAAGCATTTAACATTGTCTTTTTGTTTTGTAAAATTACGTATTTTATATTATGATAGGAGAAAGTTGGTGGTGCTGAAGAAACAGAAGTAGTGTCAGAGGATGAACTACCAACGGTGCAAAAGCCAAGCGTAAAGGATGCTGAAAATGTATCTGATGATGAACTCCCAGGACCTAAACCTGCAGAGCTTCCAGCTGACACCGAGGTATGTATTAAAAATATGTCTCCTTTAAAAATATTTTAACATATTGTCTTAAGGCTCTTTTGGAACAGATTTTTTTTAAATGTTTTTAATTTTTATCACATTTGGAATCAACTTGAAATAAGTGTTTGAAATTATTTGATAGGTGTGTTCAGTTCCTTTGAAAAAATGAACCTTACTTTACAAAAAGCACTTTAAGTTACTGTTCCTATAAACGATAATAATAATAATACTTTATTTTCAACACTTGCATAACTATCACATTTATAAATAACTATTCAATGATCTATACCTAGTTCACAAAGAATGATGGAACATATGTGTCTGAACTAGATAAATATATATCTGTATTTCAGATCACAGTGCTCTTCCCTATAACATATTAACAGACTAACATAAGTATAACTTACATAGAAGGTATACAACAAATAAAATGTGTTTTGATATAAAGAAAAATGGTATAATGTGTATTAATATGTATCTCTTTGTGTATAATATGTTGAATGCATGAGTGTGTGTAAGAGGGTGTGTAAGTAACATTAACTAGTAGTAAGTAATGCTTCAGTTTCTTCAAAGTTTAACTGATGAAGAAATTCAAATAATTTAATTTTGCATTTCTATTTATTTAAAGAGTACAATTCAGTCTTTTTATTTATTTTATTATAAAGAAGTGGTCCAAGGTAATAAAAATATTTATTAACGAAAGAATGACTAGAAATAGGTCTATTTATGCAAACTTTATCTTTTCTTCGTTCAGATAACAAGAGATCTTTATTATAAGTTAAGCACGAATGTTATTTTAACACTGTGTTTAGAATAAATAGTTGACGAACAGTGAGTACTCCAAAGGATATATATAACTGAAACGTAGGTGAAAGTAAGGGTTTAAATGTGCATACCTTAAGGATTGCTCTTTGTGCTATTTCAAGGGGTTTTAGGATCGATTTTGATGCACCTCCCCACACAGTAATACAATAGTTCAGAATTGATTGAGCAAAAGCTAAGTATACTTGTTTCAGCAATTTGGGATGCACCACATGTTGAAGATTTTTGAAAATAAAGCTTAGTTTTTGTTTGGCACAAACCATAAGTATATGTTCACAAAAGGTTAAATTTTGGTCTAATATTACCCCCAAATATTTTATGGAAGCAGTTTTAGTTATGGAAAGACATGAACAGAAGTTATTATTACAGCAACTATGAGATATTAGTGAAAGAGACGGCGTTGGTTGGGTAGAGTTGCGCATACTAAAGGAGATAAAATGTGTCTTCTCAACATTAAGATTAAGAGAATATTGTTGTAGCCAATGAGTAACCAGATTTAAACCAAATTGTGCACTTTTGTAAGCATTCTCCCACGAGTCATCAGAGAATAGCACGACCGTGTCATCTGCATAGCAAATTATTTTACAATTTGGGATATTTAGCTGACAGAGGTCATTTATATAGATTATTTATTTATTTATTTAATCTTCATTATACACCTTATATACTAAGGGATATAAAGGGCTGACTTAATGCCTTCTTCTCTGCCAGTCAACCCTGGATGATTTGAGAAACTGTAGCAGGTGTAATCAATCACTTCATAAATAAATAATAATGATATAAAACAAAATAAAATGCAAATGAATAGAATAGATATATAGTTAGTAAAATATACGTACTTACTTAATATATAATATAGGATAAATAATAAATATATAAACGGGTACTTCTATACATAACTATAAGTAAATAAAATATTATGAGACAAAAATAAAATAACACAATACATATTAAAATACATTATACAAAATATTAGTTATAAAGTGAAAGAGAAAAAAAAACACAAAAACAATAGTCGGATAGTCAGGTTATTATTCTTACGACAGAATTCTCGAACTAGTCTTTTAAAATAATTCTTGTTATTAGTTTTCTTGATATAAACAGGCAAGGCATTGCAGAGCAGTATAGACTGCACAGTAAAAGAGGAATTGTAGAAACCACTCCTATGTGGTGGAATACGAATTTTAAGACAATTTTGGGAACAGGGAACTCTATCGTTAGTAGAATACAAATATTGAAAGTTATCCTTAAGATAAGAGGGAGAATTGGGGTCATTTAAAATTGAATGTAGTACTTGCGAAGTTCGGGAGCTACGCCTTTGACGAATAGATAGCCATTTAAGCTTAGATCGGTACTGGGAAATATGGTCATACTTACGTAAGCCGAAAATGAATCTAATGCAATTGCTGAGAAGGCGCTCCAACTTATCGAGAAGATATTGAGATAGATCTGGGTAACACACATCCGCATAATCAATAATGGGTAATGTCAAAGTCTGGATTAGCAGAAGTTTAGTTTTAAAAGGCAGAAAGTTTTTGAGACAACAAAGAGAATGTAAAGTGGCAGTTACTTTACGGCTTGTTTCGGAAACTTGAACTTCCCAGCTTAACCTGTAAGCTCTGACAGGCATTAGAAGTCACAAGTTAAGGTATGGTCTATATGTAAGCCAAGATTTTTGACAGACTTACAAAATGGCAACAATGTGCCATTGTAAAATACGGGAGCAAGGTTATCGTTATTAATCTTAGCTAACATTCTGCTACTACCTATAACCATTGCTTTGCATTTGGTTGGGTTAACCAAAACACCATGTCTGTAGGACCAATCTCTAATGGTATCGAGGTTGTGGTTGAGTTTATGAATATTATCATTAAGGTCGTTAACACTAGATTGCACATAGAGCTGAAGATCATCTGCATACAGATGGTACGAACAGTTGAGAACTGAAGTGATAGAATTTATGAATAAAGAAAACATTAAAGGTGAAAGTATTCCGCATTGCGGCACGCCTGTTTCAATGTCAACCCATCTTGAGAACTCTTGTCCTAATCGTACTGATTGCTGGCGGCCGCGAAGAGAGGATGAAAACCATTCCAAAGCTGGGATTGAGAATCTAAGATTAGTTAGGAAGGCTATAAGGATATCGTGGTCGACTGTGTTAAAAGCATTTGAAAAGTCAACAAGCACTACCACCATAAGCTTTTGCTCATCCATTCCCATTCTAATATCATCTGTAACTTTTATCAATGCAGTGGTAATACTGTGACCTGCACGAAAGCCTGACTGATATTTATTCAGCAGATTGTGTTTGGTTATGAACATAGAGATTTGCTTGTGAATACAGGCTTCCAGAACTTTAGATATGTATGGCAATATTGAAATTGGTCGGAAATGGGTAGGTAATGAGGGATTAGGTATTTTAGGAAGTGGTCGCACAAATGCTTTTTTCCACTGAGTAGGATATTGACCTGAGTCAAGGGAATAGTTTATGATATGTGTGATTGCAGATGTCCTGTGTACGATGCTTCTTAAATTTCACAAATGCTCGATCTCGCCTAGTCATTGCCAACCTTACGGCCTCAGTCATCCACAGGGCTGGTGAACGCTTCACTCTTACTTGATGTTTGGGAGAAATCAGCTTATATGATATATAAATAAGATCATGTCGTGAAAAAGCAGGAGCCGATAGTTTGCCCGTGATAATATGATCAATCCATGAGTCATCAGTGTCAATGTTGTGGTGAGTTGCCGCTAAGGGGAGAATTTGGAGATCGACTGACTCTATGATTGACCGAAATTTTTGAGAACGAGAAGAATTTCTCAACAAATCAGTATTGAAATCACCCATTATTATGCAGTGCGTGTACTCAGATGAAGTGGAAGTGAGGGCGCTTTCAAGAGCGTCGAAAAAATTAACAGCAGGTGGACAGTATACTACCCCAAGAATTGCCTTTACACCTTTGATATCAATTTCCAGAAACAGAAACTCCGGTGAGGCAGAATACGCAGATGGAGAAGCTAAAATTATTTTATAAGGGATGTTTGCTCTAAGGTATATGGCAACACCACCTCCTCCTTTTTCAATTCGGTCGTTACGCACAAGAACAAAATCATTTAGAGGATATAAGCTGGACTTTAATGATGGCTTTAGCCAACTTTCTGATACTAAGATTGCATGAACACAGTCTATAGACAAAACTTCTTCAAAATAAAAATAATGACTTGGAATGCTTTGAGCATTGACATGACATATATTAACACTCCGTTACACGCGCGGGGCACAGGCGTGCCCCAGCTGCATATTTTTGTCTGTAAATCACAAAACTTAACAGCCAGGATTTTGATTTTTAAGTAGCTGTTGCATATATCTTCGCGTGAGCGTCAGTGACGCGTCGACTGTGCCGGCGCTCGGACGTGCTCTGTGTAAGTGTTTATGCATCTTTGGGGCACGCCTGTGCCCCACGCGTGTAATTACGTAACTAGTGGTACGCGGCTTATTTGGTATTTATTATGTTTTTTTTTATTATTTTCAAGATAATTATGTTAAAAATCTGTGTAAATTTGTTAAATTCATATTACTGTTTTTATTTTTCTTTATTGGTGGTATGATTTTCGTAATTAAATTGGACATTTTTCTTGTTTTAGGTATTTTATCTTGTAAAGTTCGTCTGATTATCTGCTAAGATGGATGCACAGTCACAACGTGTAGCTAGATGGTTGGAAGAGACGGACGAAGAGGAGGAGAATGATTTGGAGGACCTGCCGAGTAGCGAAGATGAAGAAGATTGTTGTTTAGAAGAAAGACACGATTCTGAGTCGGAGCAAGAAAGCGATGTAGGGGAACAGATAATCCCAGATACTCCATCTGCATTGCAGCCGTTATCAGAGTCAAGCTCAGACGAGGATGTTCCATTGGCCAATTTAAGGATTTACAAATCTAAGTCAGGTCTTGAATGGCAGGCCACACCATACAGAACTAGCGTCCGATCCCAAGCGTCGAACATTCGTAGTCGTATTTGTGGCCCCAAAAATGACGCTTCAGCTTGCAAAACTCCAATCTCTTGTTTTGAATTATATTTTAATGAGGAGACAATAGATATTATTACAAGATGTACAAATATATATATCGACAAAATAAAAACAAAATACCAAAGACAAAGAGATGCCAAGAATACAGACTATACTGAAATCAGGGCAATGATTGGGATGTTACTCATGATGGGTGTAGAAAAAAGTGGGCGAAGAATTCTGAAAGATTTTTGGGACAATAGGTTTGGAACTGCAGTGGAGGCTATTTATCTCACAATGTCTCAAAATCGATTTGCCTTTTTGCTAAAGTGCATTCGATTTGATGACATCCATACAAGAGATTCCAGAAAGGAAATTGATAAACTCGCTCCTATCAGACAAATTTTTGACATTTTTGTATCGAACCTACAAAAGTATTATACACCGAGTGAGTATCTCACTCTAGATGAGCAACTTGTGGCATTTAGAGGACGTTGTGGTTTCCGGATGTTTATTCCCAACAAACCAGACAAGTATGGTCTTAAACTTTTTGCCTTAGTAGATGTTACGTTTCCTTATGCATACAACTTAGAAATTTATGCCGGTGCTCAACCTCCTGGACCTTTTCAGGTCTCCAACAAAGTGAAAGACATTGTTCACAGAATGTTAAAGCCTCTCGAAGGTATGGGAAGCAATGTGACCATGGACAACTGGTTTACCAGTATACCGTTGTTGATGGAACTAGAAATGAAGAAGATTACTGCTATTGGGACACTGAAATCTAACAAACCTGACATTCCACTCAATTTCAAATCATCCAAAGGTAGACCCATCAACGACTCCTTATTTGGTTTCCAAAAGAAATGCACTTTAGTGTCTTACGTACCAAAACCAAAAAAAGTAGTTTTAGTGGCATCAACCATGCACAATGATGGTACGATTGATCTTTCTACCGCTGAGAAAAGAAAACCTGAAATAATTACTGAGTACAACAGGACAAAATGTGGTGTTGACGTTTTAGATAAAATGTGCAAGCATTTCAGTGTAGCACGAAATAGTAGACGTTGGCCCCTCACCCTATTTTTTGACATGGTAAATATCGCTGGCATCAATGGCATGATAATTGACACAATGGTCAATCACAATTACCAGCGCAAATCTCGACGCGACTACTTACGTTCGGTGGCTATAGAACTTATTAAGGCTCAAATGCGACAGAGACTTATGACTAAAAACTTACCTCGGACTATCACGGAGAAGATCATGATGTTTTTAGAAGTAAAAGAGAGTAATTTAGTGCCTGAAGATGAAGTTATACCAAAAAAGAGAACCAAAACAGCCAGATGTTACGACTGCGGAAGAGCCAAAGATAGATCGACCAGAACATTTTGCCAGAAGTGTCAGAAGCCTGTGTGCAATGACCATAAATATCCTGTATGCCTTGGTTGTTATAATAAATATGTAACCGAGCCCAAAGAATAGTCGGATTATGTCAAAAATCTTAATTATAAGTATAAGTGCCATTTTTCTTTAGTTTTATCAGTATGAAGCCAAATACTTTTTATTTTTTGTTTTAGTACAGAAGTGTCTATTTTTTTGTTGTTTTTTGATAAGTCAATAAAGGCTGATTATATATAAAAACTATAATATTTTATTTCTATTCCTATGTTACTAAAAAAATCACAATATTTTGGGCCACAATTGTGCCCCGCGCGTGGAATCGTGTCACTATTTTAAGCGCGTGTACTGGAGTGTTAAGCAAGTTTTACAAGGAGTAAATAAATTGATCAGCTCATCGCGGAGGGAGAGCATACTATCACTACCATCACAAAACTCGAACGAGATATCTGAATCATGGGCAGAATAAAAAGATTCATCATCCGACATATCTATCATTAATAATAGAGATATAAGAATAATAAATTTTAAATAAATAAAAAAATATAATATAATAATATGTTATTAGATAATATAATATGTTATTGTTAGACTAACTACAAAATATGACTCAATACATATTATACATCACCCAACAGTTGACTGATTGCAAAGGAATATCTACAGTTTACAATGATAATAAGAATTAAAAAAAAAAGCAATTAACACTAACCTACTTGATCAAAGCATAATAAGACAAAAGTTTACTGTTAGTTAATCACTAAGTTAGTCACTTAATTAACAAGATAACTTAATGGATACTATTTGACAACAAAATTCACCAAAACAAACAGTAATGCAAAAAGAACATATTTTTAACAGTGTGATACAAAAGAACTTAAATTTTGCTAACATAGCAGCAAGAAGGTACCACACAAAAAAAACCCAAAGGAATACGATTAAGTTTCGAAATACAAGATTAATAATGTACAATTAGTTTTCAAACACAGCATATTCTATCCTATACAAAAGCTTACTCCATAAACATAGTGATTATATACTCTATGTGTCGAACTGTATATAAACAAGATTATAAACAAGCTTGGACCTAATATACTGCCTTGTGGCACACCGTGTGTAATCGGTAGATCTCCACTAACTTGATCATTAATTTTGACACATTGATATCTATTAGAAAGGTATATCTTAAATAAATTTAATTGAACATCACATATTCCAAGAGATTCAAGCTTATGTAATAATAAAGGAATGGAGACTGTGTCAAAAGCCTTGGCAAGATCCAAAAATATACCAATAGTTTCAAACATCTCAGTTCCCCTATGGGTGCTGTAAAGCACCCGAAACATCGGGAATTAAAAATAAGTAAAATCAGTTAAATAAACGCGATAAAATCCGTAAATTTAGTTTTATTCAATGTGTAGTGTTCGCGTAAATTTAAGAAATCATTATTGCTCTTGTATCGTTACTCAGACTTGCGTTTGGATCCAACGATGAGTGTACTCTGCCCATAGTACCTTTCTATCTTACTTAAAAATCTCAGGTGTCCCGGAAACTAAGCTGTCACATTTGGTCTTCAGCTTCGACAGTTGGCTCTTTCTGGCAGACAGATATATGGCAAAGACTTTGGAGCCCTGTTTCCGCTCGATCACTTTTTCAATACGAACTGTATTGAAGTTGCGTAAGTTCCGCCGCATGCATTTGGAGTTTTTATGTTCTTGTGCGACGGGTTTTACAGAAATTAGCTCAGACCGCAGGTACAATTTCCACAAGCTTGTCATTCATGTGGTCTTACTTCATTTTAGTCTACTAGGCACTAAAAACGATTTTGGAACTCGAGCTGAAAGTTTTCGGGGCTTTGGATTAGAGCACCCCGTGTTTTGGCGGGTAAGATTATCCACTACCCCATATCTTCCGTTGGTGATGTAAGAGTCGTGCAAAAACAAAAGTAATTTTATAACAATACATTACTATGCTAGAATTATTGAAAGAAGCAAAAAAGGGCATGAAAATTTAGCAAAGTTTTTTTTTTAAAAAAAAAATAATTATTGATGGGTAAAATTTTTTTTTATGGGGTGGGTGTTGATTTGTGAGAGGGGGGGAAACTCCCCCGGGGGGGGGGGGGGGAAGGGGGATAGAAAATCTTTGTATTCTACAATATATCTGTGTACTAGGTGCATGTTGTGATATCTGTAGTATAAAGAATGAGCTTTAAAGTTTTTGTACACCCACCTAACATAAAGCCACAATATAGCCTCTATTGATTTTTTTAAATGAGAGAAAAAAGAAAATTGGTTGAAATAAATTGCAATTGGTGATGAGGTCGAAAGCGCAATTTCTGCCCATTTATGAGAAAGACGAATCATTTATTTTCAATGGCAATAATATTTTGAAAAGGAAAATATAATTTTACAGTCCTCGGACTCCATTTTACATGATATATATCTTAAAATAGCTTTAGCTGCTACAAAATCAGTTAATGTAATTTTTATTTTATTTACAGGTAGTATCAGAAGATGAATTGCCTTCATCTAAAAAGGATTCGAAGGAGTCACGCAAAAGAAAACCAGATGAAGAAAAGGATGGTTACGATCCAGGTTCACCCACTTCTGAAAATGAATCATCTTGTAAAAAGCAAGCTGTTGCGAAGGTTTGTCTTATTTCCTAGTATGGCCATAAATGCCAAACTGAAATTTATGAGCAAGCGTAGTAGCTGACTCAACGGTTGTGGCAGTCGGTATGAGCCAACCGAATCTCGCAAAATTAGTTGACAAAAAAAAAGTTAATGTTTACTTATATTTAATTTTTACCAGACTGAAGAAGAAGAATAAACTTAAAATATCAGGGTATTTTTGAGACGCTCCCGAAAACGAAAACAGACCAACCAACCAAAATAGTACCAACGATACCTTTGGACTTGGGACCAAAAGAAAAAGGATCCCAATGAAAAAAAATCATCTTTTCACAACGTTTTATTAGCTTTATTCACGCTCCATCATGTTAGTACAGCTAAATGAAACAATAATTTTATAAAAATAAAACCAGCAGTGAAAATTAAAGTGCTACCAGCTTATTATAGGGTCAATAAACGCGCAGACGTTGAACTCTTTTATCTAGCTCCGTACGAAAGAAAGCATTAGGGATTACTGTACTTTGCTCACTCTACCCTTCCCTCTAACACACGCGCTGAAGCCGCTCGGCTGACTCATGTCGCCTCGCTGTGATAGCAGCGTGCTGCCGGCCGCCGTATTCGTATTCGCCGTATTTGGAGTCGCGCGTATATTGACCCCTTATCTGCTGATATTAGGTATTTTAAATTTCACTGCTGGTTTAAGTATTTTCATGTTTTTTTTAATGAAATTATCGTTTCAATTAGCTGTACAAACATGATAGAGCGTGAATAAAGCTAATTAAATATTGTAAAAAAAATCTTTTTTCATCGGGATCGATTTCCTATTGGTCCCATCATCAAAATCGTTAGCACTATCGTCTGTCTTCGTTTTCGGGAGCGTCTCACAAACATCGTTAGGTATATCATTTGTGTTTTCTTTATGTACCTATATAAATTTGTGACTGGTTTAGGGATTGGGTATTTAATAGTACACACTTTACTTGCTTACGATTATATGATTCAGACTGAATTCCGGTCACAGTGGCCTGTTCTAAAGGAGACTTGCCATCTGCATAGGATAGGATGATAGTACACAAGTGTGTGTAAGCATAGGTGTACAATCTATTCCCTCACTTTTAGTCCGATGGGACGGTAATCAGACGCAACTGGAGGCTGATTTTATACACGGGGGTTAAAAAAAGCCAACTACCTAACACCGAGCTGCTGCTAAGATTTTTTTACATAAAACCCATTAACTGATATTTTTGGAATTGTTTAACTTGATTTTACATCAGATATATAACTTATTCAGCTTACAGTGTCATTAAAGAAAGGCCATTTGCACTTATCAACAGATTTGTTATGCAGGAGTCACTAATAACTACATTACATAACAAATTAAGGACTCCTAGAAGACAGCTTTGTGGTGGAAAATAAACCCTAAATATTATGAACTTAGCTGTGTAAGAATATATTTTAGCACCTCCATCAAGTGGTTTTAAATTGCGCCTTTTCAGGGATGCTAGATTAGTTACCGAGTAGTTTTGATATTCATCAAATTTTATCTCCTTGTTGTTTATTTTAACCAATAATTTTATTTTTCTAAAATTAAGAGCCCATATGCAAACTTTCTTTTACTTAAATTTTAAATTTAAAATCAATTTTCTTCCAGGGTCGATCTCATCATGTTCCCATCCTTATCCACATCATCAAAATGTATCAAAAATACTTCCTCTTCCGCATCATCTTTCTTATAACCACTTCCTCGTCAACCCTAATCAGCAGGTGTGCTAATGATCACTATACAAATGAGGCAGGTTTCACTATTTTTACTAACCTATAAAAATTATGAAAAAAATCCATGAACATGTTGGCAGGGTAACTGTTATGTTTTAAGGTTATTTAAATGTACTAACACTGATATTATTTTCTACGGCAGAATGGCGAAAGTAAACCAGTTCCTGTAGAAAAAAGGTTATCTGTGGATGAGAAACCAAAAAAGAAAATTTTACCAGAGCTGGACAAATATTGGAAAGTTGTTAATGACGACCCCACTGATTTCACAGGATGGACTTATTTGCTACAATATGTAGATCAAGAGGTATGTTTCGCTTTGACATTTTAGTAATACAAAAGATAAAGTTTTCTAAAGTAATACCATATGGTAGCTGATCTCATCTAGTTAGTATATTATCAATATGTCAATAAACAAAATAGTGAATTATAATTTTGCCAGGTGAATTACGAAAAATATTTGTTGTTATAAATATGATAGTATGAATAATTTCTGCATTATATAGTGACAGGAGGATTAACTGTGAATATTATTATCATACTTAATAACTTCTACATTCAGTCAGTGAAAATCCACTGCTGGCATACCTTTCCTGCTTTATAGAGGATTAGCTTTAGTCGCCACACTTAACAAGTGAATTGGCAGTTGCACAACCAGATGTTTTACATCTTTGCCACATTGTCATTCTGGGTATTTTTCGTCTGGTGTAAACGAGATGCTTACACTGCTATCTACCTATCGGACATCATACGATTTTTCTGACATTCCCGAAAGTTGGCCTCCTATGATGCCACCTATGGGATACCAGCGTAAAACAGCAGCTTGATGCTGCTGTGTTTCGTATGGTGAGAACCAGAGATCCGTTTTACTAGAATCGAGGCACTCCATCTTAATCCTCAGAGGTGACAACGCATCTGCATTTTGATTCTTTATCGAGATTAAATGTTGATGATAGATAGTATCCACTTATCATCTGATGAACTGTGTTATTTTGTCACACTAATTTTATAGAAAAAATGGATTGAGGTAGTGGAATTTCCTATGCTTTCACTAAATGATTGACCATGTAGTGAATCATATTAGTATAATTATGAATGACATGTTTGCTGTTTCAAAAAACAATTTCATTATATTATAACAACCAATTCATATAATGATGAAAATGTTTGCTAATCTTATTGCTTTATGAAGCAATGAGAACTGAATCATTCCTGTCGATTGGCAAGGGCCAACTGAATGTGTATATATGTTTTATTTTATTAGACACTACTTAATATTATTGTATTTTAACTTCAAGTTGATTTTTTTTTGAAGAGTGATGTGGAAGCTGCGCGAGAAGCTTATGATGCCTTCTTGTCGCATTATCCATATTGTTATGGCTATTGGAGGAAATACGCCGATTATGAAAAACGTAAAGGAAGTAAAAAGAAGTGCCTCGAGGTGAGTGGCCTTTGCAAAATACAGTTGTATAAATATTTAAGGTATATTCTTTGGTGAGTTTATATAGAAATAAATTTAAATAAAATTCTGTTGAATGTGACATAAACACATGGATTTAAAATTGTTTTAGTTATAATTGGTATTGTGCAATTATTTTTTTTCCCAACAGTGCATCGAGGCCAACGATGTTCATATGGCAAAGTCGTCCGTTCGCATCGGAGAGTTGTATAACCGTCACATAAATTTTGTTTTAGTGATTCATTTTTTGTGGTGTATAATTTGTATTCTAGTGAATAAGTTTATGATGTGTACTCGACTGATGTATTGTAATATTTTATAATGTATATTAATTAAGTTCGTATGTTGTGCATTGGACATACTTAAGAGAATTTAATGACTAATCCATGTTAGCATGGAACGACACAGGTCTTCGTTTTTAGCCATTGAGTTAGCGATGGAGGAGGCCGGCGAAGGGAAGAGTGCTTCAACGACCGGCGAGCGTGAACAGGTGTAATATACCCGACAAACATTTTATATACATTAGATGCAGGTGAGACGTTTTGAGAGCTCTTGTGGGTATTCCACAGCGATCCAACGTCTCACTTCATCATTTACGAAATTATATGAGACAATATAATGCTATTCAATATTCCCTTGCTTTCATAGTGTTGTCGTCGTTACGGCAACGCTCTGGTTCCCTCGGAGCAATTTTGATCATTTAGCAATGTTGCAGGTTTTGGAAAGAGGACTCAAAGCCATACCACTTTCTGTGGATTTATGGATACATTACTTGAATCATATAAAAGCTACTAGAACTGAAGATCTTGCTTTCATTAGATCACAGTATGAGAGGGCTATAGGTAAGTATTTTTTTTATATGTATTAGAGCAACACTGTAGCTATATTATAGTTGTAGCACGAATAGTTCGGCTCGACCGGGGAAGAACCACGCTCTCACAGAATACCTGCGTAAAATAGCACCTTAATACTGCTGTGTTTCGTATGGTGAGTGTAGAGATCCGGAGACCCTTCTTTACTGGTTACGAGGCATTCCATCTTAGTCCTCAGGGGTGACAACGCATCTGCGTTTTGATTCTTAATCGAGGATAAATGTAGATGTCTATGGGCCACAGCATCCACTTACCATCGGGTGGACTGTGTGCTCGTTTGTCACCTTTATTCTATATAAAAAAAAAGTTAATTTTGATTCTCTTTCAAAATATTAACAGGATTTTGCTTCATTGTTATTATAAAACATCGTAATGCTTTCTTTATCTTTTTGTAGATGCCTGTGGATTGGAGTTCCGTTCTGATCGGCTATGGGAGTCTTACATCAAGTGGGAAGCAGAGAATGGTACTGCTCTTAATGTAACAAACATTTACGACAGACTACTGGCCACTCCTACCCTTGGATATACTTCACATTTTGATAAGTAAGTTAATTTTTCGTAATTGTTTGTAATAACGGTAAGAGCCGTGGTAGCTTAGGGGCTACGCGCTCGCCGTAAATTTCACAAAACGTGAGAAAGAGAAATGAGGAGAGACCTGTGCCCGGCAGGTGGACGTATATAGGCTTGAACTTTAATTATTTGTAACAAAATTTGTTATAGAAATGTATTAATAACAAAAATCAATTCCATCAAGTACAATAAAAGATGGGAGTAGATTGTAAACAAATTAAAAATGTGTAACTTCTCAAATGCACAAATTGTAACAAAAGATATCACATTCCATAAGCGTTACGTACATTACTAAAAATTAGCTAGTAACGCGAAAAATATTGTATTACTATACTTGCATATTATAGTCTTTTTATACAATAAAAATGTGATAAATAAGCACATTTCTCGCTTAAGAATCGAAATTGCAGATGCATCCATGAGGACTAAGGTGGAGTGCTTTCTTTCTGATAAAAGGGTCTTCACCATATGGAACAGTAGAATTAATCTGCTATTTAACGCTTATTAATTCTACTGTTCTGTATGGTGAAGATTCTGAATATTCTGTGAAAGTTATTACATTCTGAATATTCTGTGAAAGCGTGATTCTTCCCCGGTTGTATCAGTCCTTTTGTGCTACAACCAGCTGCAGCATGACCCTTCCTTGAACAAAACAATGGGGCGCGTCTTTTAAGATCGGATTATTTTTGTTCTATTTATCCTTTCTTAGTCAAAAATATTAAAATGAGATTTATGATGAATTGGTTCCCGCTTTGGCAAGACCGGATGGATATATTACTACGCTATCTTTTGCACAACGATGAACTCTATAGCGGGGTTTAGACAGTGGCGAAGCTTCCATTAAAGCCGAAAAGCCGGGCTTGCCTTATTAAACCTGAATCAATCAATAATATCAATCAATAATATCAACTAATAAAATAACTCGTAAAATGTTTCAAGCTATTTCAAATTTCCCGCGCACTCCACTGTTCGACACATGTCGACCGATGACCTCGTATTGCCTTAGCGATACTGCTGCTGTCATAAAAAATGTGTTTTAATAGAGCTAATAGTTGTCTCCCTCGGTCGCGTGGGCTTTTTACGGGGCTTTCGAGAAGACGATCGCTCTCTTTCTAACCTATGGCAAAATATTCTATAATGAAATATAACTACGATTGTATATATAGCAATTAGTATAGAGATTTAAAGCCAGGCTTTTGGAAATAAATTTGTTAAAAGCGGAGGCGCGCGGGCAATACGTTTGCAAGTTCATTTCAAGTTTCAATGTTTATTTACTCTGTGTGCTTATCTTAAGCGATTTAATATTACGAGTTCAAAATTTATGCTTTTTTAAAGATTTTTAATGAAAATGGAGGATAATAGTGTTCCTTGTGATGAATTGAAGTGTGTTAAAGTGATAATTGGAGAGGAAATCTTTAAACTTTGTTGAGATAATACATAAGGTTAAGAGTGTATTTCAGACTTATCAATTATCGCAATTAAAAACAGTTATTGGTACAATTAAAACGTTCACCAACATTTTACATGGACGTAATTAAATCTTTCCATAAGAAAGCGTGACGATTCCACTTATCTTATCTTATCTCTTATCAATTAGAATGTAAATCATTTTTTTTTTTTTAATTTTGTACATAGTTTGTTTGTACTTTGTTCGTGTTTTACTTTTGTTCATGTATTGTATTGGATGTAAATATTTTTTTTCTTTCGCTTAAACAAACCCAAACGGCTTTCTTCAAAGCCACCAAAGCTATGCAATTGCTGATATGTAATACAATCTATCTAGCAGTGACAGCACTGAATATGAAACTGAAGCGTGGAGACAGATCAAGATTGGTGTATTTTTATAAAACTGCTAAAAACAACAATCTATATTTTTATCAATTTATATCTTGGGCTTGCCCTAGCTTGGAGCTCTAGCTTCGCCACTGGGTTTAGATTTGCTAGAACTTCTGCCAAGTTATTGCGCAAGTACCTTCAGAACTGTTTACACTACCAGCAATATTACTATTGCAATTTGCTTCTGCAAGCGGCCCGCAAAGTAACTTGTGGAAGTACTTGAAAAAAAGTTTACACTAGTAACGGCAATATTTTTTGCATGCAAGTGAGAGGATCCAAATTCAGAAAGTTGAAATCAATCATCATGCCAAGCTGTAGAAAAATATGTGCTGCTGCTATAGGAGTCTTATTTATTAGTATTAAAAAAAAAACGGAAAAATAGAAAGTGGGTTAAGAATTGGATATTAAGATGATATAATTTTGGTATTCACCACACATCTATTAAAACAGGTGCGAAGAACTTATGGAGTTTAAAAATTTCATTCAGGAGCGAAGAACTTATGCAGTTTCAGAATGAAATTTTTAAACTGCATAAACATTTCGTATCCCATAATTCTCTCTCTGCATTATTCATACTTCTTTATTAGCCGCACAGTTCATCCCGCGTCCAAACTTTTTTACCTGACATCTTTGCAAATAAAATGAACTGCAGCTTACTGCCAGAAGTTTTAAAATGGTGTGTACACTTGCGACTTGCGGCGAGTCCTGCAAGTTACAAAATTTGCGGAAGTAAGCTTGACATGATTGTTTAAACGGCAGGAATAACTTCCAGAAGTCAACTTCTGCAAGTTTTGTTGTTAATCTAAACCTTGCTTATGAACATTGTCTTAATGCATTTTAAAGAAATTTAAAAACAGGCTTTTTTCATATTGCTGTATAGAGCTTAATAAAAATGATAAATAAAATCTTTTATTTAACTTATTATAAAGTTCAATATTTAAAAAAATGATTTTTATATAGAATAGACGAATGGATGTGAAGTGCAATATCATCATGCTATGTCTTTTGTGACAGCTTTCAAGAGCACGTGATGTCGGAGCCGGTGGCGGGCGTAGTGTCGCGCACGGAGCTGGTGCGGCTGCGCGGCGAGGTGCGCGAGAGCAGCGGCGCGCAGCCGCAGCTGGACCTGCCGCCCGGCGAGGACGCGCCCCGTGACCACATCGTGAGTACCCAGCGCTGCCGGTGCGCGAGTACAGCGGCGCGCAGCCGCAGCTGTACCTGCCGCCCGGCGAGGACGAGCCCCTTGATCACATCGTGAGTACCCAGCGCTGTCGGTGCGCGATAGCAGCGGCGCGCAGCCGCAGCTGGACTTGCCGCCCGGCGAGGACGAGCCGCTCGACCACATCGTGAGTACCCAGCGCTGTCGCTGCGCGAGAGCAGCGGCGCGAAGCCGCAGCTGGACCTGCCGCCCCGGCGAGGATGAGCCGCTCGACCACATCGTGAGTACCCAGCGCTGGGCATGCGGCTGCTCATCTGATAGTAAAGGAATACCGCCGCCCATGAACAACTGCAACACTGGGTTAAATGCAGATCTATAGCCGACCTTTTAAGAAAGAGTAGGCGCTTTTCTGGAAGGTCCCTAAGTCTTATCGGTCCAGAAAAAATGCTGGTGGTAATTAACTCTACATGGAAATTGTGCGAGGAAAAAAACTTCTTGTAAATCGCACAATGGTGGCCTGCTAATCATCTTAATAGTATAGATGGTATTGCTAGCATTGTCGCGACGTGCGATGGTAAAATTGCGCGGCTGGAATTAGTCCAAGCAATTCTGAGCACTCCAAGTGACAGATGCGATAGAATATGCATAAAAATGCAACATCTCTTCGCAGCGCCAGTGAGTCTAGCCGATTAGAAAGAATTCGGTGGTCGACGATTCGAACCGCTCTGCGCTGGAAACGATAAAGTGGAAGGAGCTGGCACTGGGGTGTCCCCGCCCAGAGATGATAACAGTATTCCATGTAAGGCCGAACTTGTGTCTTGTAAAGATGCAGGCGGTGAGCCGGCATGAAATACTGTCCCGCTCTAAGCCACGCCAAGTTTTTAGAGATGAGTTTGGTCTTCCATTCCAAGTGACCGAGAACTGTACGTCATTCGATATGACAACGCCGAGGATGCCGATGCTGGATGAAGCAATCAGGGGACTGCCCTGAATTTGAGGATATCTGTCTTCTGGGGATTGAACTGGACTAAATTTAGTTGCCCCCAATCCGGCACTTCGTTAAACAAATACTCGACTTCAGACACAAGGTTAATCTCGTACTCGACGTGATCCCACACAACAATGACTTGACCTGTTCCTTCTGCATATAAACATATTGTCCATATGCAAAAGAAACAGGGTAGGCAATAATACACAGTCTTATTCAGCATTCACAGGCTTGGAATCAGAGCATGCACCATTGACTACGATCTCAATAGTCCAATCTGAGAGAAAACTGGTGATCCAATTGCATAATTTCTCGGGAAACCCATAAGATGGAAGCTTTGAAAGAAGCGCTTTGCCCAAATCCGAACGAAGGCCTTATAAGCTAGTCCAAATTAACTGCCAAGGGAGACTCGCATTCGACTGCCTGCACCCATCAGTGTGTAAGGTAAACAAGAAGATCTGGTGATTTTGGTTGGCTGGTGGGTTTCCGACAAGGTTGCTCTGCACCAGAGAAACCATACTAGCTGTCACTAATCAGCTGGTGCTCCTCAAGGTACCGCATGAGCTGGCAGCTAATAATGAATTCCATGATTTTCGAGAACGAGGAAAAAATGACAATAGGCCTGTAGTTAGACAGGATAAGAGCTGCAAACTTTTTTGGGGATCGGGTGCACAAAAGCATAGTTAGGAAGGTTCCGTCAGGCCCACTCGACTTGTGGATAGCCAGGGATAGGAGTGCATTGCATTCTAATTACTATGTGAATCGTACATCTGCCATAGAGCACGGTAGAAGTACCAAAAAGACAAGTTAGAACCAGTGCCAACTCTGCAGCACACAACCTCAGCACAGTTGGAAGGATTCCATCAGGCCCACTCGACTTGTGGATGCCCAGGGATAGGAGTGCTTTGTGTATTGAGCACTGTATGAATGGCAAATCAGACACAGGTGTGTTCCTATCATAGAAAGTTGAGTTGGACGCGAAAAGGGAGTCTTAAAGGTCGGCGGCGGTTGGCGTTCACGCTAACGACGATCAGATCAGCAAGGCAGTCGGCACCGAAAATGCCGCCGCGGCTGTATTGTAATGACGCTTCCGTGCATTGGACATGTGCCGAATCATTACAGTGCGCTTCCTCGCCACTAACACATCTTGTGACCTCGTTCAATAAACTACTTTTTTATGATAGTAAATTTCCCTTTTATTTTAACTAGCTTTGTATGATTAGCTACAACTATAAAATACTATAATACACAATACAATGGCTGTCAACTTTATTTTGTACGAGGTTTGGCGTCGCCAATTTGGCGGCGTTCGCTGTGTTGACAGACTGAATAAATTTATACATTTTAGACTTTTGATTAATGTGCAATTTGGCATTTTTTAAATAATTTGCATGCGAAATTTGAGAACTATTGTAAAGTCAAAACAGATCTAGTGTTGACATTTATACGTGTGAATTGACGTGTTAGTGACATTTTAGTGGCTACGCGGGCTCCGCCCATTACCCCGTTCTATTATGTATGTATAGTATTCTATGGCTACAACCCTTGAGTTGAAATTTTAAGAACGGCCAAGTACTTGACCATTTTGATCCCAAGTTATTTTATAGAAATTGAGCATGGCCTCATCTATAGATCGCCTAATATTTTTTATAGTTGCCAAGCTTGGCAGGTGCATTGGCAATCACATTTTTTTAAATTATTTTGAGTTATCAGGAAAATGCTGCTGGCCGTCTCTTGTTTTATTTTGCTTCTGTCGCCTCTTACGACAATGGAGTAATATGGGGTAGTGGATGTACAGAATTGTTACTATATAGTGGAGGTAATGAGTATGTGATTATTAAATATATTAAACTTGACTTAATTTATTTAGGCTTCAGAGGAAGAAGCTCAGGCGATCAAAGAGCGGATAATTGCAGCCAGAAGGAAAGTACACAAAACTACTGGTGAGGAAGTAGCTGCTCGTTGGACCTTTGAGGAAGGCGTAAGTGTTTGAATAACAATATTATTATTTGCTTGTATTTTGTGTGATTGTTGGTGTCTGTTAGTGGTTATGTAACTTTAACCCTACAGTGGTCGTGTGGATTACAATAGTAATTCACTGTAAAATAATCTCGAATTTAGATATTTCTGAAACCAAATAATTAAAAATAAATATGTAAACTGATTTTTGATCTAAGATCTAACTTTAAAATTAATATGATATTTTCGTATATTAATATGTAAAAGTTTTTTAAATATTATAATATTTAATAAAAAAGGATGTAAAATGGTTTCTGTTTATTAAATATGATTAATCATTGACTAAATGTTACCTTGATTCATATTTAAAATAAAATTAAAATACATTTTGGTTGATATTTCAAAGCTTTCTTCTTATTTTAAATTGGACTACATACGTAGTCCACGTGATCATTTATGTTTTTTATAAGGCGCGATCACTGCAGGATTTAAATGACTTGACTGATTGAGGTCATATTCACACAATAAGTGTAAGAGGATCCGATAGCTGGTGCTGTAGTTTAGTTATTACCAAATTCTATATTTATACACCACATGGAATGTATTCAAACAGAGGTACTCAAACATTTCACTTAACACTCATTGGCTTCATACCGTTTTTACGTACTTTACATTTACTTAGGTAGTATGACGGGAAATAATCACTGTGCTCAATTTTATTTTATTTTAATCTTTATATTCTTACCTTAAAAAAAAAGCATACAAAAGACGGATTTCATGCCAATTCTTATCAAATTTCCAAACTTCAGTCAATCAGTGAAGTGGTGAAAATTTGACGCAGGTGCAGCAATTGAAAGAAAAGAAACTAAAATAAATACACATTATAAGTCTACTATTAACGTAATGCCGTTCAGTTTCCACTTCAGCCCAAGCTGATGTCATATGACCTACGTAAACCGACCGCTGACGCCCGGGAAGAAAGGATGCATGCCAATTTAAGATACATAAACATAAACACTTACGCCTGTCACCCAACACCAGAGTGATAAGCAGAGACTACGGACTTCCATTTGTCACGATCCTGACACACCTCTCGCCTCCTTTACTTTCTGGCCCATTTGCAATATATCGCCCATTTGGTCGATAAAAATTCGTCTAGGGCGTTCCTTCCCAACTCTACCTCCGTTCACATCTGCAATATAAATTTGCTTTGTTACTCTTTCCTCGTTCATTCTTTCTACATGACCAAACCACAGAATCATTACTTTCTTAATCGTGGTCACAACATCATCTTGCAAACCACACGTTTCTCCAATCTAAGATAGTGGGTTCAAAATTAAAATGGGATAGGATGGAAAAAACAATATCATGATCAACTGTGTTAAGAGCATTATAAAAGCCAACTAGAACTACCACTGTTTTTTTTTCATCCATACCTAACTACATACATAAATTTTCATCCATTTCTTTTTTTCAATCTTTTTTTCATCACATGTGAAAATGTATTAGGGCAGTGCGGTGGACATTTCCTTGACTTAAGCTCTCCTTAGAAATGAGAAGAGGTCTGTGCCTAAGAGTGGGACATAAAATCTGTTGTAACATTACTTATTTTATTTATTTTTTATATAACTTTATAAAGGCCTCTTTCATAGTGCTCTTTATTTATTCTTAGAGATGATTACCTTGTACTTGGGTAGACTATGCCTATTCTGCCTAATAAATATTACTATTTACTATTTTAGATAAAGCGACCATATTTTCATGTGAAACCCTTGGAAAGATGCCAGCTCAAGAACTGGAAATCATACCTCGAGTGGGAAAAACAGCATGGTACCTTTAAACGGGCACTCGTTTTGCACGAAAGGTGCCTTATAGCCTGCGCTCTTTATGAAGAGTTTTGGATGAGGGTAAATATTTTATTTCGTACACATTTGAAACAACAATTTTCTTAGTAAACAAAATTTGTTGCTTATGTAATACTCAACGTTTATCACAGATATACATTGTCGCACAATAAAAAATTCAATTACAAATATTAATGCATTCTTTCATTACATCGTTTCCAAAGTCCATTGCTGAACATAAGCATTCCTGATAGATTGCCTCATAGGAAGTTAATTTTTGCCGTTGCCACGCTTGACAAGAGTGTTATTGTTATTAGAGTGTTATTATTAATAACCGCAGTTTGTTTTTATTTTGGAGATTAGGAAGATGCTGCTGCCTGCTTCTGGTCCGTTTCCTTCAATCGGTACTTTCGACACTCACAAAATGATATGGATAGTGGATTCTCTTATGCCATCACTACACGGCACAATTTCACACAGTTGTACAGTTTAAAAATTAAGCTTTTACACGTTTTAATATTTACCCGAGAGTAACCCGGGTTCGATCCCCGCCGGCACCAATGAAATTGTTAATTGCAATTTTAAAGTGCTGATTTATTACCACGTGCTTGGCAGTGAAGGAAAACATCGTGAGGAAACCTGCATGTCTGAGGAATAAGAAAAATATTTCGAAGACATGTGAAGTTCGTCAACACGCATTTGGGCAGCGCGGCGGACACTTCCTTGCCCTAAACCCTCTCAGAAATGAGGGGAGGCCTGAGCCCAGCAGTGGGACGTATATAGGCTGTAACTTTACTTTACTTTTTTTTTACATTTTAATATTAGATAAGGTCAGGGGTTGAGCACTCGCTGAATGTTTTATTGTTCATTAACTCAAAAATTGTTAATTTAAATTTTATGCGAACATTTACGACGTGCTCGTCGGTTAGGAGATATATCATTAAAATATTTCGAAGATTTGTGTAGTGATACAATAATTTAACCCTGTATGTGTGTGTACCATTCTATGTCTGTTAAACACAAAATTTTTTTGGTGTGCTATACATATCTAATTAGACCAGTTTTACTGTGGCCAGTAAGATGTATTGTAATGGCTGCTATAGCTATAGTTAGTAATTAGCAATTTCACTTCTTGGCTACGTACAAAGATACTTCGCAGAAAAAAAAGATCAGACAGTTAAATAGTTTAAAGAACAATTTTATTAAGACCCCATATTTAAATTACTGTTACAGCTTGTAAAATTCCTGGAGGAGCGTATTGAATCAGAACCGGAACTGATATCAGTTGAACGTGAGGTGTTAGAGCGTGCCTGCACAGTACACCATCTGGATAAACCTGAGCTTCATTTACACTGGGCTCATTTTGAAGAGGAACATGGTAACCCGAGCAAGGCTGCAGAGATTCTCGATCGGATAGAGAAGACCTGCCCCAATCTTGTGCAGATACAGTACAGGTGAGTTTAAGTCAAAATTTACTGTACATAATATTTTCTGTTCCTTATATTGTTTGGTGGATCCAAATCAAATATGTAAATTTGTTTAGTATAAGAGAAAGAAATATTATATTTACATAAATACAGGTGTGGCCTAAATAGTGGTCCAATATTTACGCCACATTTCGGACTCGATAAAATAATTTTAACTTATTACCTTTTTTGTTTTTTTTTTTTACAAATTTACTAGCTTTTGATACTGTTTTTGCTGTAGTTTCATCAAAAACCAATATCTTTAATTTTGAGATCTGTTAATTACTGCCAAATACTATATCAATCGTGAGAAAATATTGTTTTTCTTGTAAATTTAGAGCTTTTGCTGTAGTTTCATCAAGAACCATTATCTTTTTCATTATGGTTTCTGTTAATTACTGCTAAATACTAGATCAATCGTGAGAAAATATTGTTTTTCTTGTAAATTTAGAGCTTTTGCTGTAGTTTCATCAAGAACCATTATCTTTTTCATTATGGTTTCTGTTAATTACTGCTAAATACTAGAACAATCGTGAGAAAATATTGTTTTTCTTGTAAATTTAGAGCTTTTGCTGTAGTTTCATCAAGAACTATTATCTTTTTCATTATGGTTTCTGTTAATTACTGCTAAATACTAGAACAATCGTGAGAAAATATTGTTTTTCTTGTAAATTTAGAGCTTTTGCTGTAGTTTCATCAAGAACCATTATCTTTTTCATTATGGTTTCTGTTAATTACTGCTAAATACTAGAACAATCGTGAGAAAATATTGTTTTTCTTGTAAATTTAGAGCTTTTGCTGTAGTTTCATCAAGAACTATTATCTTTTTCATTATGGTTTCTGTTAATTACTGCTAAATACTAGAACAATCGTGAGAAAATATTGTTTTTCTTGTAAATTTAGAGCTTTTGCTGTAGTTTCATCAAGAACCATTATCTTTTTCATTATGGTTTCTGTTAATTACTGCTAAATACTAGAACAATCGTGAGAAAATATTGTTTTTCATGTAAATTTAGAGCTTTTGCTGTAGTTTCATCAAGAACCATTATCTTTTTCATTATGGTTTCTGTTAATTACTGCTAAATACTAGATCAATCGTGAGAAAATATTGTTTTTCTTGTAAATTTAGAGCTTTTGCTGTAGTTTCATCAAGAACCATTATCTTTTTCATTATGGTTTCTGTTAATTACTGCTAAATACTAGAACAATCGTGAGAAAATATTGTTTTTCTTGTAAATTTATAGCTTTTGCTGTAGTTTCATCAAGAACCATTATCTTTTTCATTATGGTTTCTGTTAATTACTGCTAAATACTAGATCAATCGTGAGAAAATATTGTTTTTCTTGTAAATTTAGAGCTTTTGCTGTAGTTTCATCAAGAACCATTATCTTTTTCATTATGGTTTCTGTTAATTACTGCTAAATACTAGAACAATCGTGAGAAAATATTGTTTTTCTTGTAAATTTAGAGCTTTTGCTGTAGTTTCATCAAGAACCATTATCTTTTTCATTATGGTTTCTGTTAATTACTGCTAAATACTAGAACAATCGTGAGTAAATATTGTTTTTCATGTTAATTTAGAGCTTTGAATGAAAAAATAAGATAAAAATAACAACTAAAAATACATAGGTATACTGGCTGACTATTTTTACCATCTGGAAAATAATATGGTGTTTTTTGTAAGTGTAATAGAAGCTATACTCGAAAGTATTTTAAAATATAACAAATTATAACTAGATAGGTGAAATTTCCGAATATGCAAAAAAAAAATACAAAAAAAAATGTATCCTACGGCGTTTGCGTAAAACTAAAAATAGGCTAGGACTCGCTAGTGATTGAAAGTTGTAAGAGCGAGCGAGAGGCATGCACGTCTTTCGTTATGTAGGCGCCAGGCGGCCGAGTGGAAAAGGTCGCTCCCCAGCCGACACATCATTGCAGCCAACATTTTAGAATCAGCTGACGCGCGCCTTACGTTAACAAAAAAGTATTTTTCTGTTACAAGTATTTAGGCACTTTTGATATTTATTTTTTATTTTGACTGCCTCATTGGTCTAGTGCTTGTAGTACCTAGTCTGACAGCTGATCATGACGTCCTGGGTTCGAATACCGGGTCGGGACAAAAAATCAATTTATTGAGCTTTTCCGACAGGAAGTTCTCAGTAGCTGCCTGGAGTCTCGCCACCGTGCCTCGGAAAGCACGTAAATCCGTTGGTCCTGTGCCTGATCTCTTTCCCGGTCGTGTCAGTTTACCGTCCCATCGGACTATGAGATTGAGGGAATAGAGAGTGCACCTGTGCTTGTGGATATACTTGTGCACTATAATCCTATCCTGCGCCGTTGGCTAGTTTCTGTTTAGGCTGGCCGCCGTGACCGAAATTCGGTCTGGAGGACATTATTACATTACTGATTTTTGCGTTTTTATTAGAGTACGGCCTCTCAAAAAGTCCAAAGGTACTGCATAGTATACGGGTGCTTAAATAATAATAGGATTATGGACTTTTCATTTAAAACGTTCAGTGTAAGTAGACCTCCCAGTACTAGTTACTGCCTACTAATGCAAGTTCAGCGTGTACTGATTATTAGTAAATACTTTGTCGATAAAAGGAAGAGATTGAAAAGAACAGCACTTCTCATTGTCACTCTTTCATTAATAATGCCGTCGCGTGTTGCATGTTTGTAAATATCAAAAAATGTGGTACAGAAAATGGTATGTAGGTAAATTTCCTTTCCGTTTCAGATTATTATTTTTGTGATTTCGATTTTTCCTTCATACTTTTACGGGCTTAGGGCCGTCAATATGCTGCATTTGAGTAGAAAGAATTACTTGTAAAATTTTATCTTGCATTATAAAATTATAATGAATTGATAAACAGTTTCTAATAACAACTGTCACAGAGCCTATGTACATTCCAGGATAGTAATTGCTTAATCATTCGAATTAATTCCAAGACTGTTATTGCAATTTACAGACCTCAAGATATTGATAGATTTCTAGATTCCTTTGATATTACCTTAAACAAACTTAGCGCATATAAAAATATCATCCTAACTGGTGATATAAATATTAACATTATCCCATTAACCACGCACATAACTACCTAAATATCTGCTCTTTTTATGAACTATTAGCAACACATTACAACCCTACACATCAGCGGCTCGTGTTTAGACCATTTTGTGATTAAATCAAATAAACCTTCTTTACCATTAGTTACTAATTCCCCGCTTACTGATCTTCAAAAAATTTTACTAACATTACAATTAACCATTTCTTTGCTTACATTACTTACCTGGACAAAACGCAGCTACACTAAATTCCATATGACGAACCTTGAAAATGACATTCGTAGCATTAATTTAAACTTTGTTTATCGCTCTGACGATGGAAATACATCCATGAGTTACTTTATAAATTAATTACAATACGCAATAAAAAATAATACATCAACAATAAAACTGTCACGTAAGTATTATACTATTAAATCTTGGATAACACCTGGTCTCGTCCGCTGTATAAGAAATAGAGACAAACTACATTTAAAATCAAAACTTTAACTTCAGTTCAAAAACCCTTAGACCCCCACTTGAACTACTCATCAGTCATTAGACGAAAGCCCAAACGAAGCGACAAATAAATTATTTTTTTTTAATTACACTACGCGTACTTAATTTTTTTATTGATAGATTAATTTCATATTTTGATTTTTTTAAATAATTATAAAATATCAGTGCCATAGGCCTACCTACTCCGTTCACCTGTTACACCATTTTTTTTTTCAGACGGTAATAATAGTCCTCCAGTATATACCACTTCTTTACTGTATATACCATTTTCATGGTGATTGGTCAAATAGATTTTGAGTTTTCCATATGTACAAACATCGTCTATATATATATATATATAATGTTCCATAAATATCACGTACGGCGCGCGGTTGAATTGGGGGTTAAACTACTACGGATAAATGACGAGTCAGCAAATGCAGGGGCGACTCTAGGTAATATTATCAGCCTTCGTTGCTTTCTATTGCTAACATAAAGATTTCTGCCCTGCGGGCATAACATTACAATGGAATAAACGGTGTTTTGATTGTTATTATACAAATAACTAGAATTTTTTTTGGAAAATAAGCTCTTGTCTAATCTTTTAAAAATACTACATAAGATATTTTTATTTGCTGCTAAGCAAAATCTCAAAACAAAATAATATGATTCCCTGAGTTATTATTATATCACATATATCTTATGATATTTGGCATTTGTTAAATTATTCCGCTGTAACCAGATATTTCTAACTTTCTTCACTTCATAGAAATATAATGAGACAATCACAATCCAATTGACTTATGGTTCATAAATGATAGCTTGATCTCTGCAACAGTTGTTAGTAAAATCACGCCTATGAAGTCCTGAATTTCTTAGTAGTACGGACAGTACCTGTCAATGTCATACTTTATGGGCATGCCGACCTAATTAGTGCATGCCCATAAAGTATGACATTGACAGGTACTGTCCGTATACTAAGAAATTAGGTTCATAGGGTGATTTTTGTCGGTAAGTATCTTTTATGAACTATAATTTTCCTTAAAAAACTAAAGTCGGTAAGTTTCGTTTTGCTCAACAAAATTTTTTGACTCATAATAATTTCTCTTTTTTGCTTTATTCCCCTAAATATATCATAAATACATTGGCACTATAATATTTAACAATAAAAAATCCAATCGACTTAATTTTCGTCAGAAACTACAGTTTTATTAATCGCAAAGTATCGTTTTGCTCACCATAATTCCTTTGTCTTATAATAATTTCTCTTTCTGCATTTCCATAAATATGTCATAACTACATTGTCACTATATTATTATTCAGTAGTTGTAGTTAGCGGAGAGAACTTATTTCTCTAAAGTTGCAACTTTATGGTGGTATACTTAGTGTACCACCAGCGCTCTGTCACTCTTGCTACCTAACTGAAATAATTACGGGCTATATACGCAGTCGGGGCTTTATACATAGCGTAAAAAAAACTTTAACATATGTAAATAGATTTTTGTGATTTCTCCTTGAAATAATTTTTGTTTAGTATATTAAATTGAAGGATAAATAGTTGAAAAACTTTTAATGTAATAAAACTAAATTTACGGATTCTATCGATTTATTCAATGTGTAGTGTTCGCGTAAATTTAAGAAATCATTAAGTTTTAATGTAATTTAAAAATAATATACTATTATGTATATTACCTATCTATTTGATGAATTGTAATGACAAAACGTCGAACCTACTAAAATTGTTGCGTGGATGGACACTTAATGAGCAAACAAAAGGATTCAGATATATTTTCATTTTTAAGTTACCGAAAGATAATGAAAGACGAGATTATTTCATATTTATTTATTTTGTTATATAGCTACTACAGAAGTAATACCTTTAAGTACTTTATTACAAAACTTAGTTGAAATTTACTTCACTATCCAAGTACCTACTTATATACATATACTTGTCTTTGTTAACAAGATTTTAACTAAGTAGAATACGATCACGTTTCATTTAGGAATCGTATTTCCGGTTTATTTGTTGTTTACAGTACCTACCCATTTCTTCCGAGCAAAGCATCGCGATTCTCGACGAATGGCCTTGCAAGTTGCATACGTTGGGCGTCACAGAACTTACATAGTAGCGAAAATATGGTCAGTCGATCATAGTCAGAATGGGTACCTTACCTTAGTAACTTACTTACACTTTCACAGTGTATTTTTTACTCTTTAGAGACAGCCCTTAGTAACGACGGAAAGTCTGCCATGACTTAGAGAGGGAAAAAGATGCAAAGTAATACGGACACGTGCGCAGCGATAAGTATTTATTTAGCTTGCGTGCGCGATTTATCTAACTAATAATAATTATGTAGGCTATTAAAACGGTGTCAAGCAGCAACATCAAAGGAGTGCAACTTCTGTACGTAGTACTATTATTTTTATTCTGTAGTGTAGCCTTTACATGTTTGAGTCACTCGAACGTCATGTTGTAGCATTGTTTAAATGTCGTAATTGCATTTTCAAATTAACTTACATACTTTCAGACGGGTAAATCTGGAGCGCAGACGTGGCGACTATGACAAATGCTGCCAATTATATGAAAGCTACATAGCGTCAGCAAAGAATAAGCAGATCGCTTCCGCTTTAGCGGTGAAATACGTGCGATTCCTGTTTCACATTAAGCGCGACGCGTCGGCAGCGAAGAAGGCCATCGACGATGCCATCTCCAAAGACCCGCTCAATGTCAGATTGCATATGCAAAGGCTTGACATCGCTTTGCACACACCTGGCACACCGTACGAAGTTTTAGAAGGTAAATAATACACACATACATATATATTATTATATTATACAGGGTTATTTTTCAAAGAGTATCCATTTTTAATAATTAAGTTCGAAATATAAATACTGATATATACGATTTTGCAGTTTTTATAAATATGCGTATATAAGGTTTCTACATTTATTTGAAAATATCTGAAATTTAATGTGATTTATGTGTAACAACTATAGCGTACCCACGCTTGTCAATAAACGAGTCGAGCATGGAGCTTTTGCCTACTATTTACTTCCTTAATGACACACTCACTGTTTACTTGATACGTACATTATGAACTACTTTTTTTCGATTTTCATTTCACTCTAAACGTAATTAGGACGGTTGAAATAAATAAAATAAAATTTTTTTTTTATATTTCAACGACGTGACCGATGACTGTTTTTATTATGGCGTGTTTAAAAAAATTAGAATTAATTATTTACAACTATTATTCTTTAAAATATAATAATAATCGTTTGGGTGGCAAACAGCACTGGTCGCATCCGACCACGGCGATATTCCGTTAAATCCCAAAGCGGTGGATCCGACCACACGCACCCACAGCTCTTTAAACCATAAAAACTTCTATATAGAGACTACTTTTCTATAAAGAAGTTTGCCATTATAGAATCTATACGAAATTCTCTATTTTATAGTCTAAATAAAAGTCAGTTACTCTATGGATTTTTATTTTTATTCTACTGTCAATTAGCGATATTTGCCGACCATACGAAAATGGCGCAATTTCCCACGGTAGATTAAAAATAAAATCCATAAAGTAACTGATTTTTTTAGACCACAGGGTAGAGAATTTCGTAGAGATTCTATAACGCCAAACTTCTTCATAGAAAAGTAGTCTCTAAATATAAGTTTTTATGGTTAAAAGAGCTGTGGGTGTGGTCGCATGCGACCTTAAAAAAATGAAAATCCATTGAATTGACTACTTTTCGATGAAGAAGTTTGGCGTTATAGAGTCTATACGAAATTCTCTACCCTGTGGTCTAAACAAATCAGTTACTCTATGGATTTTATTTTTAATCTACCGTGGAAAATTGCGCCATTTTCGTATGGTCGGCAAACGTCGCAAATTGACAGTAGAATAAAAATAAAAATCCATAGAGTAACTGACTTTTGTTTAGACTATAAAATAGAGAATTTTGTATAAATTCTATAATCCAAACTAAATATAAGTTTTTATGGTTTGTAGTGCTGTGGGTGGGTGCGATCGCATGCGACCGCTCGGGATTTGACGGACGCATGTGACCGCTTGAGACTTAAAATTTTACGGGGTTTCAAGGGTTAAAATGTAACTCCGTACCATTTCATACTCGTACTCGCGGTTCTAATATTTTCGTTGCGTGAATGCTGAAGAAGTGACAAGTAAATACTATCCACGAACATTTAAAAATAACACACTCGTACATAATGAGGTCACGGTCAAGTTAACACTGTCGGTGATACCTGGCAGTGTAGCGGTTAACGAAAGGGGAAAGGCAGGAAGACACGCTTGTCTTTACTGAGTCAAAACAACTAATAGATACTTAAATCTGTAACCAAGCGTGAGCGCCGAGCGCCACCTGCTTATGGCTTCAACACTCCTTCAGAACCTCTGCAAATTTGGGTTTACATTCCAAAATAACCATGAATAACTTTTGGTGAGGGTCTGCCTAGCAGCGGATTTTTACGGGTTGTTAAACAAGGAAAGAAGAAAGATGTGTTTATGAGTGCTTGTCCAGTTGAGCACGGTGCCACTTGAAATGTGCTTCAAGTGGCACCGTCTATCTTTGTCGGTCTGATTTTGGGTTACTGTTTAAATTGTAATGATAATGAGGCGGCGCATTGTGTGTGTGCAGACCTGGCGATGTCGTACGAGCGCACGGAGGGTGCGGAGGCGGAGGTGAGCGCGACGATGGCGTGGCGACGGCGCGAGCTGGCCGAGGAGCTGGGCCCGGCCGCCGCCGCGCGCGCCGCCACGCGCCACGCGCGTGCGCTCGCCAAGCACCTGCGCAAGCGCGCGCGCAAGGACAAACACGAGCCGCCGCCGCCGCCCACGTGAGTACACCTGCACCTGCGCAAGGACAAACATGCCGCCGCCGCCGACGTGAATACACCTACACCTGCGCAACGACAGGCACAAGCCGCCGCCGCTGCCCGCGTGAGTACACCTGCACCTGCGCGGGGCAAGGACAAGCACGAGCCACCTCCGCCGCCCGCGTGAGTACACCTGCACCTGCGCGAGGACAAGCACGAGCCACCGCCGCCGCCCGCGTGAGTACACCTGCACCTGCGCAAGGACAAGCACGTGCCACCGCCGCCGCCCGCGTGAGTACACCTGCACCTGCGCAAGGACAAGCACGAGCCACCGCCGCCGCCCGCGTGAGTACACCTGCACCTGCGCAAGGACAAGCACGAGCCGACCACCGCGGCGACTGTGTCTGCGGCTTACTCGCACCTGTCAGTGGATGTCGGATCGCCCTATCAGGAAATATCTTGGTCCGAAAGATAGCGACATTATTTTACCCCCTAACACGGTTCCAGTCTTATTACTTTACCCTATGTGTGTTTAGGGTTAATGTATGTGCATCCACTCGATGCAGTATATTGCCCCTACCCCCACCAGATACGATGGGGTGGCAACAGAGTCTCCACTTACCAATGGATTGGCGGGACCAACCTGGGGAATCGATTTGTGTCGCACTGCATATTTGTTTTGTCCTCCACAGGGTGGGGCTGGGCCCCGCCATTCATCCCCACGGCAACTTTAGAATCAGGGTTATTTTGAAAAGGTTTTCTTCCTCACGGCCCTGTGTGGGCCTCTGTGCCCGATTGGGCTTACGGGTTGTCGAGTGGGTACACTACCGCATGGGTTCACCCGGAATTGATGCGCTTGCTACATCGCCTAAGCAACGGGTCGCGTCCCGTGTCCGCTCCACTCTAAGAGCTGTACCGGAAGCGACTTCAACCTGAGAAGGCCCGTCTCTCAGGTAAACAGCCCCAGCCTTATTAGCTCCCTTTGGAACCAAAGGTACGCCCAAACCCAGCAATTTTTAGTCCCCGGCGGTTTTCCGCTACCACCTACCACCCATATCTGGATGGCATTCTCCTATCTGTCACCTGATGACGCGCTCGACGAGAGGACTGGCAACTACACACGCGGCGTGAGTAACTCTGCTACATTTGTACAATAACAAGCACTATTCGTCGCCGCAGCATGATTTATTTCACGTTTTTACTCTTTTCGTAACCTGTCTCGGCTGAAAAACAATTATATTACGTATTCAGATACGTATGCACGCAAGCAAGTGGATAAGAGAAAGTTTGAACGAGGAAAATGCCTCTATGTTTGTATCATATCTATTAATTGATAAATTCAGTTGGTACGCGAAAGTTGTCGCAATAAATGATATTAGCTAGTAGAGCACCAACTCATATGACAATGTGAATCAGAGTTAATACCAGTCAAATATTTTTTTTTTTAGCCCTTCGACTGACGCAACAAAGAAGAAAGAGAGTAGCGGCACAACAATGACGACCGCCACTACCACGAGTAGTAGCAGCACATATTACCAGACGCCAGCTGCTACTGCACAGTCGTATGACCAGTCTTACGCACAGCCGTATCAGCCGCCTTGGGGATACCAGCAGCCGCCGGGCCCCTACCAACATCATCCACACCCTTGGCCACAGTATCCTAACTACTACTAACGACGAATAAATAGTTTAACTTAACTTGACACTTCTCGATATTTCCAATACTGTGAGATGATCACTCGTGTAGCTTTACTCTAAGTGCAGTAAGAGTACCGAATTTAACTTGCTTTGATTTTGACTTCAAATATGAATTTGTATATGCATAAGGTCATTTTTCATTATAAATTGTAAGCATTTTAAATAAAGGTATGTTATAATTTTCGGTGTATATTAAGTGTAGTTTAATTCCCGCAATCCTATTTATTTATTTTTACGTGTTCGACGTTTTAAACATATTAATGTTAATTTTAACTGTTAACTTTATCATTGAAAGATATTGCGACGGTGGTTTGAAAAGATTTTAGCCTAACTGAGATTTTTGGGTAGAGTATGTAAATGTATACTCATTCGATAGCTTGGTTCTTCATTCAATCGTATGTCGAGTGCCATTGTGATAGGTTGCGTAATTATTTTACTACGATTTTTTGTTCGAGCGAATCTACTTTTCTCCTAGTAAATCTATAAAAAAAGTGAAATGTAAAAGCCGTTATTAACACTTCGTCAAAAAAATTACACAAACCAGATCTAGGAAGACAGATAACACATTAGGTGAATCTACACTATAAAAGTGGTAAGCTTTGTTCAAATAAGGCGGAAAAAGCGTTAGTGATGACCCGAGGAGCGGAAGGCCGTCGATGTCCATCACGTCCGAAATCACCGACAAAATCCACTAAATAGTTTAAGTACGTTAAATAAGTGACATTATAGGAATCTCACTGCCACTGGACATCCCACTGCGCGGGCTCAACTAGAAATGAAAAAGGTGTCAACAAACGCGTCACCCATTTTGAGTGCCGCGTTTTTTGACAGCCGAACAAAAACTCAATCACGTTGAAATCTCAAGGAAGAATCCGGCGTTGTCTCGATCAAATACTAGCGACATTTTAAGAAGATTTATAACCAGTGTTGAATCCAATTTTCATCAGTTCTGAGACATCTTTATTCCTGAGATGAAACTGGAAATAATGATTCTCCGCTACCGGAGAAAATCAAGTTGCAAAAGTCGGTGAAAAAAGTGATGGCATCGGTGTTTTGGTATTACAAGGAATTATTTTTATTGACTATTGTAACGCTAGATGTCGCTAGCCGGCTGTCCAGCCTGCCATGCCTAGCCGCTACGTCACTACCCCACCACGTGTGCCTTGCCCCGTTAAATTCTGAGTCGGCGGAGGTGAAGTAGCCGTCAGCGAGTTATATAAAAGCCAGGAGCGATGATTTTGTGCATGTTGCGCCCTCCTTTCTGCCAAGGAGAGTCGCGTCCGTCTACGGCTTAAAGATCTCTCGTCAGATCAGTAAGCCAAACCCAAAAAGGTGGAGTTTAGTGGGTAAAAGTCTCAAAAAAGATGATAAGTATGCTGTGAGCATTCTCCACCTCCCTTATGATTATTACACCCCCGTTACCGGAGAGTTGCCCTTAATTGCTTCGGGCGCAAAAAAAATTTTTTGTGCTATCACTTTATAATAATAATTGTAATAAGGGAAAACTTTGCCCGCATAAAAGTATAAATCAATTTCTGTTTATCTTTTTTACCACTTTTGTTATACACTGTCGTTATACTCAGAAGTGGGATCAAAAAAAGAGAAAAAAAAGCGCATGATGAAACGACGCTCCACTACACATAAACGTCGACGGGGGCGTAGTCGGGAGGACGATGATTCTGCGTCGATAAACTGGATGTCTGAAGATTCAAACGAAGAAGGTCGATGCACACCACTCGCTAGAAAAATATTGAAGAGTCTCCTAGCACAAGAAGTTAAAAAAGCATTCGATGATCTGGAACACGAAGCGCCTACCCTCATTCGTTGGAAAGAACACCGTGCCGCATCGTTAAGAGTCCTCTTACATTTCGACGTTACGCAAATTTAAGTATTTTACGGTCCGAGTGGGTGACGACCTACGCGGGTGGTACTTTATTTCATAATATCTATTCACTCGCTCCCACTATGATACTGTGAGTATAGCGACTAAACGATCTTGATCTTCCATTATACAAGTTTTCTTAGGATGGAGTTTAGTGGATGGAAAAATTTTGGTGTGTCATTTTTATGTTATCTAATTAATTTATTATAATCTATTTGATATATTTTTCATTATTTATGAACCTCAATGTTGAAATAAGTACACAAATATTTTAATTGTTTCACAGTAATCCATTGTTAACCGATGTTGGTCAATAATCAATTATATCTACTAAGTGCAGCATAGTGGTATAAATAAATAAATAGTACGGTTTAACCTGTTTTAATAAATAAAATAACCAACTGTAACTAATAATTTTATTAATCGGTACTTGCAGTCAATTACCATATTTTTATTATAAAAATATTTGCCGCAACGGCATTGATCGAACTTATCTCGAGTCGATAATTTCAGGCAGTAGACACTTTTTATAAAACGCTTGTAACTTGGGTAACATATTCAAATTCTTTTGTCGTCTTTGTAGAATTTTAGTACTTTTAGTGCACAATCTGGGCCAGTCCATATGGCAAGCATTCAGACATTTTTATTCTCCGTTATTATTTCTCCAGAGATAGGATACTTTTTTTACATTTAGTGATACTTGTACGAGGGTGGATTAAAAAGTACTCGGCCTAACACAGATCCATTCAATTCTAAAAATCAAATCTACCCACATTATTTAGTTCAGTTCAGACTAGTTCATTGTGTGAAGTTCGAAACGTGTGCGATAATTAGTTGTGATTTTATAAATTTATTAACAAAGTAATCGGACATAATTTCCGCGAATGGAGCAAATCGAGCAGCGTGCCGTCATTAAGTACCTCCATAAGAAGGGGCTATCATCAAAAGCCATCCATGATGACATGGTCAGTACATTAGGCGATTGTGCTCTGTCATATTCATCCGTCAAAAAATGGATAGCAGAATTTAAGCGTGGTAGAGAGAGTGTGAAAGATGAACCCCGCTCTGGAAGGCCTTCGACGTCAACTACTGACGAAAATATTAAAAAAGTACTTGATTTAATAATGGGAGACCGCAAATTAAAAATTAGAGAGATAGCCGAGATTATAGGCATTTCTTATGAACGAACTCAAAACATCATTGTCAACGAGTTGGGTTTCCACAAGGTGTCTGCGAGGTGGGTTCCGCGACTGCTTTCAGTTGAACAAAAAAGGACGCGATTGACTATTTCACGCGACTGTTTGGAGTTATTTGAAGCCGATACAGATGATTTTTTGAATCGTTTTGTTACTATGGACGAAACATGGGTTCATTACTGTATACCGGAAACAAAACAACAATCAAAACAGTGGAGAAGACCTGGTTCACCACCCCCTAAAAAAGGCTAAGTCGATTTTGTCGGCAAATAAGGTGATGGCTTCAGTATTCTGGGACTCGAAAGGTGTGATTATGATTGATTATCTTGAAAGTGGTCAGATTATAAACTCTGATTACTACTGCACCTTACTACGTCGTTTACGAGAGGAAATAAAAGAAAAACGTCGAGGAATGCTCAGAAGAAAAGTCCTGTTTCATCAAGATAACGCCCGTGTTCACACGTCAGTACAGTCAATGGCTGAAATTCACAACTGTGGCTTTGAACTGTTACCGCATCCGCCGTATTCACCTGATCTGGCACCATCAGACTTCTTTCTGTTCCCTAACCTAAAAAAGCACTTGGGAGGTCAAAGATTTTCGACAAACGACGAGGTCAAAGCAGCTGTAGACGCATATTTTGACTCTAAGGAAGAATCATTTTTTTTCAACGGTCTAAATGCTTGGAAGGGGAGGTGGCAAAAGTGTATTGAACTTGATGGTGATTATGTAGAAAAATAAAAATATAACTGATTTAGTATGTGTTTATTTTCTTGGTTAGGCCAAGTACTTTTCAATCCACCCTCGTATTTATTTTTCCCCATTCCGACTGGTAAGAAAGCTCAGCTACAATCAAAATAACTATAATGAGTTAACTATCTGTTATAATAATCATGTGCGAACTTTATCCTAATTGAAATATATTGCACGAAAGTGTAACTGTAACTGTAAACTTCCAGTGATCAAAAACTACGATCGTAGTTGAGTTCTATTTCGGAACTCAGGCCAAAATAGCAGCCGCTATAACGGCAATTGACGCACACTACAATAATATCGAAATGAGACGGAACGCGTGAAACAAGTGACACAGGCCCAAACTCGACAACCGCACGCGCGATATGATTTCAGATGGCCAGCGCAGGGAAATATATGTTAGTGTTATTTAATTTATTAAATTATAATACTAACGATTTAAAAAGTAAAAATTATAGTGTAGTTTAAGCAAATGTTGATGATTTTGGTATAAATAAAGTATAGGATACTAGAGATTTAAAGATATTTTTTTTGATGATTGATAGTCAATAGAATCTACAAATTAGAGCTCCCAAATCATGTCTCTCAGAGTTTTGGCCTAAAAATGCATCGGGAGAATGATTATTACTAAATAAATAAATAAATAAGTTATCTAAAATTTCTTCTGAGCTTATTGTAGTAGAGAAAACGAACTATTTTTACCAAGTAATCGTTATTTCAAGGAACGGACTAAAAACATATAATTTCAACGAGGAAACCTTGTAATTTTTAATTCCGGAATTTGATCCTGAAAACGAAGAATGGGCAGTTACTGCCTGGATAAAAAAATTGAACAACTAGGTCAAGTCCACGGCTGGGAAGACAAAACTAAATCATTTCACCTTCATGATAAGCAAGAAAGTGGTATAATCGACTCGATGAATACGACTACTCTTGGGAGCAATGGAAGAAAATGCTTCTTCGTGCGTTTCCGAAACATCGAGACTACGCTCATGTTCTGGAAGAAATGCTTAATAGAAAAAAACTACCCTCTGAAAGCGTGACAAAATACTATCAAGAACAGTTGCTTTGTGCTTCAGAAGCAAATTGTCAGATGTAGCGGCGCTGTCGTCGCGCCACACGCGAAATACACCGAAGCATAAATCAC